ATCAAGAAACGAACTTTTCTTGAAGGTGTTTTTTGAAAAGCAAACACTATGTTTATTTGAAATAATTGGGGATAGGGCAGTGGTGATGGGGACGGTGAGGTAGCTGAAGGCATCTTTTGGCTGGAACAATGGGCCCAGTCTGTACCAAGAGCCCAGGCTCCCTCTACACACTCAAATCACAAGGAAGTGTTTAATGTAGGAAGGATTGCTATGTTGGGGTAACATAGGGTGAACCATACCTGTCTTCTTAAGTTGCACTAGGCCCTGAGGAATCCTGTTAACAGAAAGGATATACCCATCTTCTGTTGCAACTTCATACTCCTCACAGGGATAACCTTTATGTTGGATGATTTCACTCTATGGAAAAAACACAATTTTTTTTTGAGTTCAGTTCTGTATGGTTATGTTCTCAATGATTAAAAGGTAAAAAGTAGATTCCTTGATGCTGGAAGAGATAGACAAGAAATTCCTTACTTTTCACTAGCTAATTATGTTATTGTAAAAAAAATTAGCAATCCCTCTCCAGTGCTCATTTTCTTTATCTTTAATGTAGAGATTGAACTAGAAGGGTAGTTCTTAATGTGGACTCTGGACCAAGAGCATAGCATCACTTGGGCACTTGGTAACAATAGCAAATGGTCAGTCTCCACTCAAACCTATTGAGCTGGGAACTCTGGGGCTGGGGTCCAGCAATTTGTGTCTTAACAAGCTCCTTAGAAAATTCTGATGCACTCTAATATTTGAGAACCACTGGAAAAGAACACTGATTCCAAAACCTGGGTGTGTGTCAGAAACATCTGGGACACTTAAACATAAATATTCCTGGACCCACTTCGGGTTAGGAATCAGGGAATTCCAGTGCAGCCAGTGGGACAGGACAGCTTATGAGAACCCCTGGTCCATGTATTCCTTAAGGTTCTTTTCAGCTCTAAAACCACAGACTCAAGAGCAGTACAGTCATTCCTCAGTATCTGTGAGGAATTGGTTCCAAGACACCCCATAGATACCAACATCTGAGGATGGTCAAGTCCCTTACATAAAATGGGGTAGTATGTCAGTCCTCCGTATTGGCGAATTCCGCATTCACGGATACGGAGGGTTGACTGTAGTTCTTAACACTTTTAGGTTAAGGATCCCTCAGTGAATTTGAGGAAAATATAGAAATGGACACACTATATACTTTCAGTGGTTTCAGATTTCCTGTTTCCTATATATGGACTCCTGGTTAAGGACCCCTACTCCATACAGTTGTTACATACAGAAACTCTTTGTAAAATATAAAGCTGCTGGTCTTCCCTGGCGGCGCAGTGGTTGAGAGTCCGCCTGCCAATGCAGGGAACACGAGGTTCGTGCCCCGGTCCGGGAAGATCCCACATGCCGAGGAGCAGCTGGGCCTGTGAGCCATGGCCTCTGAGCCTGCGCGTCCAGAGCCTGTGCTCCGCAACGGGAGAGGCCACAGCAGTGAGAGGCCCACGTACCATAAAAATAAATAAATAAATAAATTATATATATATATATATATATATATATATATATATAGCTGCTGCGATCTCCTCAGTATCCTTAGTTTCTGCCTACTGTAGTTACTTAGAGAAGGAGGGAATTATTTCTATTAGCTGCTGCTTTTAAAGGAACAAACGAGGAGAAAGCTAAATGCCCAGTGTAGTATCCAAGACAAAAGGGCATAATAGTTCAGAGAAAGGCCCTGGGGTCTCACTGCCTGGGTTTTTAAATCCTGGCTCTCACACTAATGCATAAACTAACTGTGTGATCTTAGGAAATTTAGTTAACTTGTCCCTATTCCTCAGTTTATTCGTCTGTAAAGTAGGTATACCAGTGGTTTATACTCCTTGGGATTATTGCAGAGAATGTAAAAAGATAACGCACATATGACACTAACAAGATTGGCTGGCACATAGTAGGGACTCAAGGAGCATTAGCTACTACTATAATTAAAAATCACCCCCACCCTCCCTTTCAAGTAACTCCTATTCACCTTTCAGAATTCAGGTTAAGAAACCTTTCTTCAGAAAAACTTTCCTAAATTCCCTAAGTCCCCCTATTTTATGTTTTCTTCTTTGATTTCACTTCTCTTGTGATTAGTTTTGAGTGATAGGAATTGAGTGTCTGTCTTCTCTGCTGGATTGTAAACTCCATGAAATCAGGGCACTTAGATCTCTCTGTAACCTCAGTGCATAACACAGTATCAGGGCCAAATAGGTGCTCAACTAACACTAGCTAGAAAAATACCTGAATGAGGACAGTTGTATACCAAAATAGAGAATAAATTATATCCATATATATTAGTACTCAGAGTCAAACCCATTCAGACTCTAAGCACTTTTTATTCTACTTCATTTAATTTATATGAGAGATTACAAGAATTTTCTATCTTACTTTGCCTCTCCATGTATGACTGCTAACTAGCAGAGTCCAATTCATTGGATTTTAGTCTTAGAGCTCCTGAAGCCCAAACAGTGTGTAGGTGCTGGCCACACCCAGTGGGTGAGGCCCAGGGAGATTGGCTCTACCTACAACTAAAGAGATCCCCTTCACTTAACGACCTAGAGGGATTTGTATGGAAACGGCCCTTAAGGATCTACACCAATTTGCTAACTATCTGGACAAACCATCAAAAGACAGTCAATAGTTGGAATGGTCAAAAGAAACCTGATATTTGGCATTCATGTAGATTCAGAATATTTCTATAGCCTGTCAGAGTTTTAGAATTCATTCAAGGAGGCTTCTGTAAACAAGGTCTTAAATCTGTATAAAAGCATGTTAAATCTATGATAAATGTATGGAGCATGAACATTACACACAATCACCTCACTCAGCTGGAGGTAGCCTCTCCTCCCCTGGGAGGGTTTATTGCATAGTTGTCACAATTATAAGCTTTGTGTTCTGGCAGACTCGGGATTTAAATTCTAGCTCTACCACCTACCAGGGGTGTGGCCTGATTTGAGTTGTTTAACCTCTTTAATCTCAGTTCCTTGATTGGAAACATGAGTATGGTCCTATCTATGGAATAGGGCAGTGAATATAAAATCAAAAGCTTTTTCTGACCTATTGAGATGATCCAAAAAAGAGAGAGAGAGAGAAAATCAAACAGTATCTCTACAGCTTTCATCACAATGTCTGCTATGGGATAAATATGACTATATGGTGGACATTGTTACAATTCAACTAAGAATGTGAAAGTAAGCCAAAAAGTGTTCTCTGAGATACCTAGAAATTTCACTTCATTCATGAAATTTACTCATAGGAGGACCTCTCTAGCATTCATAGGGGTCCTTTTACTTCTAGACCACAGAGTTACCAGCTCAAACCAGGATTAGATAGATTAGGGTGGCACAGGGTGTTACTAGAAGTGACTGTCCTGAGAGTATGAAAGGAGATCTAACATCTCTCTAATATTGGAAGAAGTAGGAAAAGAACAGAAAGCACAGACAACATGGAAATAATCATGGGTCTGAGCTTGACCCAAGATACTGCAATGATTTAACCGCTCCTGGAATGAGCCTAAGAATTCAAGAAAAAGTTAAACTGTGTTTGAAGCTCAAAGGGATTAAGTCATTTGCCTAAGTTTACTGAAATTGTTGAAGATGAACCCATGTTTACCCACACCCAACTTAGTGTTCTTTCCAGTACAATATGTTAATTTACAACTATGTTCTACTAACAGAAATCACCACCACATATAAATATAATATATAATGCAGATAATACACAGAGACAAACAATAACATGTAAGGTACTTTGTTTCCCCCCGAATATGGAAAATCCCAACTTACAACATTCATGAATGCTTCTGGGTCCACAGCTTTAGTTGGCATATGTCCCGAATTCACATTTCTCTGGAACAAATGTGCCACCAGAATCAGAAGCCACATCTCCTTTCTGTGTGAAACAATCCACTCTCTTGACAAGATTTTTGACATGGTCCAACATCTGCATTTATCTGTTCTTGGTAATATAACAACTGATTCTAAAGTCAGAAGAATCTGTAGGTTTAAAAACTCTTTCATATATTTTCCAGCTGTAATTTCTTCTCCAAATTCCGAAGCAAAGTAAACAAGCTTGGTTGACAGGAACAAAAGAACATAAAGTAGAATTGAAACAACATCCAGGATGTCCCAGTACTATCTGGCTCCGCCCACTCCCTCAAACAGCTTGGTGTGTAGAAAGAACTTTCTTTGATGCAACCTGGATTTATGTGATATGATACAACTCATAAAATCCCTGTTCATCAACAGGTAATATGCACCATAGGAAGCATCGTTTTCTTTTTTTCCTAGTTCTTTAAAAAAAAATTGTTTTCTTGGAGTATAGTTGATTTACAATGTGGTATCAGTTTCAGGTGTTCAGCAAAGTGAATCTGTTATACGTATACATATATCCACCCTTTTTTAGATTCTTTTCCCATATAAGCCATTATGGAGTATTGAGTAGAGTTCCCTGTGCTATACAGTAGGTCTTTATTAATTATCTATTTTATATACAGTAGTGTGTATATGTCAATCCCAATCTTCCAATTTATCTCCCCCCTTTATCCCCTGGTAACCATAAATTTATTTTTTACACCTGTAGAAAACTGTAACTCTATTTCTGTTTTGTAAATAGGTACAAATATCATATGATATTGCTTATATGTGGAATCTGAAAAAAAGGTTACAAATGAACTTTTTCTAGTTCTTATCTATCTTTTATAGGTAGAAAGGTATGAAGTCTGCAGAAAACTTTATGACCCTTTAGAGTCACAGTCTGGGGCTTCAATGATCACTGACCTTTGGCTGAAGGTCAATGTAGTGATAAGCATTTTTACTTATCAAGAAGGTCAAAAAATTTTAGGACATTTTCTATTTTTAGTTATGGGTAAGAACATTGATTGGAAGAAAATGAATCTTCCATGTTTAGGCCATTTCTAGGTAGCTCAGCTAAATAGACGTGAAACGTTTTATTTGGGTTTGTAATCACTAGTTAATTGCTGAGAGATTACTTTGATGGATACCTGGTCATTAAATCATCTGCAATAACTAAAAGGAGTTGCAGCCTAGTTATTTTCATGAACTAAATGCCCCAATTCAATCAACTATGTGGCCATGTGAGCAATTCCTTAGCCTCCTAATATTTAAGCAGGCCAGGAGAATAGTTATTGTCATTTTAAGTAAAGAATGTGTTAGAATTTAAGAAAAAATACTATTTAAAGTAAAATATTTCTTTACTTTTACATCAGCTCTTCAGAACTGAGCTACCAGCAGCCACACTAATTGAGAGACTTTGGAATGTGGGTTGGTGAAGGAGGTGAAGCCAGAACAGGAACGGTGAGTCTGTGTGTAGACAGCCGCCCACACTCTCAAGCCTCACCCACTCTGGGCCGCCTGCATAGATGTCATGAGGTGAGCTTGCAGCTCTAATCTGGAGCAGTCTCAACATTCCCACCACTAGCCATCTGATGTGTGCTAAGGAGTAGCGATCTGACCTACTTTAGGAGAGCAGAGGAAGCATTTGCCCAACACCTGGCAGAGCCCCAGGTCCTCAGCCCCCACTGAGCTCACTCCGAAGTTATGCAAAATAAAATTTGGGAAAAGAACTTGGGCTCCCAGTGTTGACATTTTAGGATTTTACAATGTTAATCAGCCAGACATATACACACTACTATATATAAAATAGGTAAATGACAAGAACCTACTGTATAGCACAGGGAGCTGTACTATCTTGCAATAGCGTATAATGGAAAAGAATCTGGAAAAGAATACATGTATAATATACATATATGTGTGTGTGTGTGTGTGTATATATATATATATATATATATATATAACTGAATCACTTTACTATATACTTAAAACTAACACAACATTGTAAATGAACTATACTTCAATTAAAGAAAAAGTTACATAGCCAGAAGGAAAGAAAATCTCATTCTGCCCTTTCATTTTCATTTGGGAAGATATGTTAAAAAGCCTTGCCCAGGGCTTCCCTGGTGGCGCAGTGGTTGAGAGTCCACCTGATGATGCAGGGGACACGGGTTCGTGCCCCGGTCCGGGAAGATCCCACATGCCGCGGAGCGGCTAGGCCCGTAAGCCATGGCCGCTGAGCCAGCACGTCTGGAGCCTGTGCTCCGCAACGAGAGAGGCCACGACAGTGAGAGGCCCACATAACGCAAAAAAAAAAAAAAAAAAAAAAAAAAA